CTCTTCTAGTGCGACTTAAAGAATTCGGTATCAAGGCTAACTACCAGAAAAGTGAGTTCCTTAAACCCAGTTTGAATTTCCTTGGACATAGGATTGATGAGTTCGGAATACACCCTACCGATAAACTAGTTAAAGCTATTTTGGATGCACCCGAACCTACCGATGTTACCCAGCTAAGAGCCTATCTAGGCCTATTGAATTTTTATGGGCGTTTTCTCCCTAACCTATCCACGGTGTTATACCCATTGCATCAGTTGCTTCATAAAGCCAAACCCTGGCAATGGAATTCAGAATGTTCAAAAGCTTTTAATGAGAGTAAACTGCTTTTAACTCAAAGTAATGTTTTGGTACCTTATGATCCAAAGTTGAAAATCCAAGTGACATGCGATGCAAGCCCTTATGGGATCGCCAGTGTTATGTCTCACACTATGCCGGACGGATCTGTCCGACCAGTTGCGTATGCTTCTCGAAGTCTTACAAAATCTGAAATGAACTATGCTCAGTTAGATAAAGAAGCCCTTGCTATCATATTCGGAGTAAAGAAATTTCACAAATATATTTTTGGTCGATCATTCACATTGATTACGGATCATGCCCCTTTAACAGCACTCCTAGGAGAGAAAAAGGGTATCCCAGTTCTTGCAGCTGCCCGCATGCAACGTTGGGCAATAATTTTGTCTGCGTATGACTACCACATCATCTATCGAAAAGGTTCTGAAATTGTAGAAGCTGACGCTCTTTCACGTCTTCCTAAGAAACTCGACCCAAACTCTGAAGATATTTCAGTTATTCAGTTTTTTGCTCCATTTCCAGAACTACCTCTCACAGCAAAAGAAATAAGTCTTGCAACCCGAAGAGATCCGTTGTTTTCTAAAGTCTTAGATTTGACACTTCAAGGCTGGCCTACACATTTAGATAAGGATGAGCCATTAAGAGCTTTCTTTCTGAGAAAGAACGAACTTTCAGTTGAAAATGGTTGTATTCTTTGGGGAAATCGAGTCCTCATTCCTACTAAATTTCAAAAACACCTCTTAGACATGTTACATGAAGAACATCCTGGTGTTTGCAAAATGAAAGCTTTGGCCAGAAGTTTTGTGTGGTGGCCTAAAATTGATGACCAAATTGAAAATGTTGTTAAAACTTGTGAGATTTGTCAAATGACCCGTAAATCTGCCCCTAAGCTGCCTTTACAGCCGTGGCAGTGGCCTTCAAAGAAATGGCAGCGTGTGCACCTAGATTTCGCTCAGAAGGATGGTGTTTATTTTCTGATACTAGTGGACAGTTTCTCTAAATGGGTCGAAGTATACCAAATAAATGGTACCAACGCCTCAAAAACTATTGAAAAATTACGTACATGCTTTGCCGCATATGGAGTTCCGGAGAACATCATCACAGACGGAGGACCGCCTTTTAGGTCAGAAGAATTTGAAAGTTTTTTGAGATTCAATGGAATAAATCACATTTTCTCCCCTCCATATCATCCGGCGAGTAACGGCCAAGCAGAGTCTATGGTGGGTACTTTTAAAACCTCTCTCTTAAAGCAAGTACTCCAAGACAACCTCAAGGGCCGAAATCGGACTTTGCAGCACAAACTGGATTGTTTCATGTTCGCTTACCGTAACACACCTCACTCAATCACTGGTAGAACACCTTCGGAACTATTTTTGGGTTTTCAGCCTAGAACCAGATTCACTCTTCTAAAACCAGATTTCAAAAGCAACATGGAGAGCAAGCAACAGAAAATAAAAGAATCCAGTGACCAACATAGAGGAAAATGGAGGTCGTTCACACTAGGACAGGAAGTCTGGGTCAAAAGTATCCGTAACGAAGAAACAAGATGGATGCCGGGAGTTATTATCAAGTGTATCAGTCCTGTGACTTACATTGTTAGCGTAAGGGGACAGAAACGGTTTGTACATGCCGATCATTTGAAAGAGTTGGAAGGTGAATTGCCCATTATGAGAAGAGAAGAACCAGAAATCACTCCTCCACGACCCTTACCAGTGCTATCACCAAGCAAAAGTCTGGTCGAACCTCATATACATGTTGATCAATCACAGAGTCCCACGAGATCACCACCACCTCGGAAATCTTTACCACCTCAGAAATCTCCATCACCTCGGAAATCTCCATTACCTAAAGGAAGTATAACTCACGAACAAGAACCCCTGCGGAGGTCCAAAAGGATGATAACGGCCCCGCAGAAACTTAATCTTTAGTAGACAAGAGAACAAGTTCGCAGCAAGATTAAGTTAATTTTATTTTACATTTGACAAACAATGAATTTTATGTTGAAATGAAGATGCTGCGAACATTTATAAAAGAAGAGTTATTTTATTTTATTTTCAAGAAGAGTTTAAGTTTTTTTTTAAAGGGGAAAGGAGTGTTGTATATTAAATCATAAATAATAATTATCAATACGAAGTCACTGCAAGTTATATTCAATGCTTAATGCTTACTAAGAAAGAACCAGGGAAGCTCAATAAGAAACAGGAAATAATACATGTTAAAGCTCAAAGGTCAAAGGCTGATGACCAAGAACTGGAGAGGATTCACGTCACTTCTGTATGAACTGTGAGTATAGCAAGAGAGTAAAATGTGCACTTGTTAGGGTTAATATTTTCCCCCTAAAAATATACAATAATATTTAAATGGAATTAAAGAATCTAACAGCTGGTTCAACTAAACATATTTGATTCTGTGATGTTCAATAGCATTAAAAAGTCAATAGGTTTACCAACAGTGTGCAGCACTATTATTTTTTAAATTTATGACAACAGCTAATTTGCAACCAAAAGGTGAGTGAGCGTAGCGAACGAACTTCAACCAGGACGTGATTGAGCCATGCAAACGGGTGTTCTGATGGTAGGTATTTAAAATGCCTTCACGATAAGCAGTACAGTATTTAAATTGTCTAGGTACTTTTACGTGAAGGCTCTTACCTGCTGAACTAAACATCCCGTCAAGGTTTGCGTTCATGTTAACCATTTCCTCAAATGACAAAAATGAATGTACTCTTTGTTAATGGCTGGGAATACAGAAAATTAGTATTCACCATAAGTATATTAACCCTGTTGGCTGTCAATATAAATGCTAAACGCAGATCATTGTACTAGTATATATTTTGCGTAGATAAAAAGCCAGTATATAAAAGATGTTTACTTCAAACCTTACTGGATACAAAATCTACCGAATCAACGTCCTATGCTACTACGACGGTGGTATTTTAAAAACCTTCACACAATCATTGTTACATGTAACGTCTATCTCGACGACCGCTGCCTTTCCCAGACAAATAAAATTGTCCCATTTTATCGTAGGGTAGGCCTAGTCTGAGGCCCGGTAGGCTTGTAAACTAGGGCTATCGGCCGAGACAGTCATTAGGCCTATCAGATCTTCGGGGAGGTTTATAGCAGAGATGTCACCGCCCTCTAAAATATCACCGCTTCCCTGCGTCTCGCATTTCTGTGGTCTGTGACTCTGATGCATGCCTTGTCAGCACCTCAAAGATAGTCCCATACTGAATTATTGCTTTAGGTATGAGCCCTATGAGTTTTATTTACCACATTCCAAGTAGCACCACAAATAAAGAGCTCACATAAGACAGAGTATACTCGATATGCTGTGTTTGTTTGTCCTAGGACATGAGCCCGGGATTGTTTTCACATTACTTCATAATTACCATAATTAATAATTACCATCCTCTTGACCGTTGACCATTTCTGGATAGGTCACGTCGTAATGATACAAATATCATAAAACTTACAAATAAAAAAAAATACTTCAACATATAATTATTAATTAATTAACTTGAGTGTCGGGCGGCATAAAAAATATTAAAAAATTAACTGGGCATCAAAGTAATCGTCCAAGGAATAAAAGCTCTGTTGGCAACACCACGACTTTAATTTCTTTTTGAACAGATAAAGTCGTGGTGTTGCCAACAGAGCTTTTATTCCTTGGATGATTACTTTGATGCCCAGTTAATTTTTTAATATTTTTTATGCCGCCTGACACTCAAGTTAATTAATTAATAATTATATGTTAAAGTTTTTTTTTATTTGTAAGTTTTATGATATTTGTATCATTACGACGCGACCTATCCAGAAATGGTCAACGGTCAAGATTATGGTAATTATTAATTATGGTAATTATGAAGTAATGTGAAAACAATCCCGGGCTCATGTCCTAGGACAAACACAGAATATCCAGTATACTATGACTAGACTCAGGCTAGACCTAGGGGTTACGGCATAATCAATTATATAAAATCCAAAAGTCCCGCGCTCTACAGCCTCATCCCCACTATGCCGATGAAGGCCGTTCGGCAAAGCCGACACAAGTGAATCTTGACAGATGTTTCAACTAAACAAATAATCGGGTTCTACAGTACCATTTTTCGTTTACAATTTAGTTCGTAGTACACGTGTTCTTACTTTTTTCTATTGTTTAGGTGCAGTTGTAGAACATTATGGCTATGCTAGTGTGTTATACTATAACATACCGTTAATTTAAAGAACCAAATTTTCTCAAACCGTGTCCTCCCCCATTGTAAACGCAGAGCACAAGTATAACTGCAATACGCATTTTATACTTATACGCCAACCCCGTACGAAGGACAGCCACTAAGTATGCAAGTTTTCTAAAAAACCGTATATATATTTATGTAAAAAATAATACAATGTTGAGGTATAAAACTCTATTGATAGCTTTTCGTTTAAAGTGTAAACTGCTCGCCTTATTTTACGATTTAAGGCCTTTCATTAAAGTTTCATGCGTAGTACACGTGTTCTTCAATTCCAAAAACCCTCATTTAAGGTTTTTTTTAAAGGGCGAAAATTGCTATTTTATTGCTATTTTATTTGTAAGTCACTCTAGCTGATACAGTTATCCAGACGAACCTCGCACAAGCTGGCATGCACATGTCAATTGAGTAATTATTATTTACGTCATTGACATTTGAGAGTATTTGATAAGCAATTATATCGCTCAACAGCTCTACTAGCAGTTCAACTGACGTACTTTACATCAAACGCCAAGTTCAACAGGTTATGACTTTATTGAGTTAGGTGATTCAAGTGCCTTGTCCAGCAACATGGAAGGATTTATGATTGTAAGTATGCGTTTTCTGCCTCTTATAAAGCGTGTTAGAATCATATTTGTTCATGTTTTTGTAACCGTATATGCAACAGTTAATATTGTTTGCCATTTATTGTAGGAAGGATGTCAAATAAGACCATAATACGTTGAGCATAGTTTTAAATCTGTAGTAAAACGCAGTTCATATCAAGGAGAAGAATTGAAGATTCTTTTGATGCGAGTTGATTACTTAAAACACACTGTTATATTTTCAAGGGATTTAACGACATTGACTAAAACGGGGTTTTTACATTTTTTTGTTGGTTTCCTAACTTCAGCTTTGTATTACAGCTTGTGAATCTACTTGGAGGTAGCTTTAGTCGTAATGTTATGTAAACGTAAGAAGTCCAGTAAAACAGTATTTACCAAACAAAACTTCCACATAAATGTTTACTTAACATCGTTGGGATCAGTGTTAAAACCGCGTTTTTCTAGTTACATATTACAATATCATGTCTTTTAACGTTTTCTTGTTAGTTAAAATCAGTCGAAAAGTAAGCCTGGCACCAACTAACCACAAAATAACTGGAATGATAGGCCTTGATGAGAAATTCGTAGCAAAACGGTGTTGCAATACTATTCTGTTTTAATCATCCTTCAAAGCATGGATTTGAAAGTCTGCTCGGTTTTTGTATATTTCTCTACATGGCCGGACTGTGGTTGAATTATTCCACACAATAGATAGCAAGACACTTTTTTATTAAGATTTTTATTAAAATGAGTTGTACAATTGAGTTTTCCCTCCATAATCAATGGTGGTGTGTATGACTCATTTTCAGTATATTGACAGAACCACACTATTATCTTCTGTAACGTCATACTGTTGCAAAGCACTTGGTAAGACCTAGTCCCGGGACGGATTTACTTTTTCATTTTTATGTCCCTAGAGGCCAAACACACTATTCGTTAAAATGTTTACATATGTATATAATACTAGCTGTAACCCGCGGGCTTTGCCCCGTTTAACTTCTTAATTTTCAAGATTATCTCGTTCGCATGGCTCAATCACGTCCTGGTTGAAGTTTGTTCGCTACGCTCACTCACCTTTAGGTTGGAGCTCGTTCGCTACGCTCACTCACCTTTAGGTTGGAGCTCGTTCGCTACGCTCACTCACCTTTAGGTTGGAGCTCGTTCTCTGCGCTCACTTGCCTTCAGGTTAGCTCGTTCGCTACGCTAACTCGCCTCCAGGTTAAAGTTCGTTCGCTACGCTCACTCACCTTTTGGTTGCAAATTAGCTGTTGTCATAAATGTAAAAGAAATAATAGTGCTGCACCCTGTTGGTAATCCTTGTAACTTTAATGCTATTGAACATCATAGAACAGAACCAACTTGTTTAATTGAAACAGCTGTTAAGATTCAATGATTCCATTTCTCATAAGGTTAACATGGGAAACTCTAGAGCCACTGGGGCGGAGCCCGAAAGGATTTTTGAAATAAGAATATGCCTATATGTTAATCGGGAATGTGAGCTATCATCATGCCAAATTTCAGCCCAATCCGACCAGTATTTTTCGAGTTTACTTTTCCCATACACACATACACACATACAGCAACCACCTCTTTTTTATAATAGTATAGATACTATATATATAATATGTATATGTAATATATATATATATATATTTATATTATACAGGGTGAGTTTTAATTGCCCCCCCCCCCCCAACTCTTTTCTACATTTTTTTAGATATAAATCCCAGACCACTTCCAAACATTGTTGGGTAGTAAGTACTTCATTTTGGTGGTCATTTCTGGTCGCCATCTCTTGGATTCGCCATATTGGATGCAAAATATTTTTTTTCAAATGCAAAGGTGGGGTTGTGACCTATTATTTCCACAATGCCACAATTTGAAATATTTTTAAATAGTATCTTGATTCATTCCAAAGTTATTAGGACTTTTTATAACTTTATCTTATGCCCATTTTAACGTTGTGCATTTGCAAACTAAGACCATAATCTCAAAATAATGCTGGATAAAGATAAGTATACACCACCAGTCATTGTCAACCTATTTTCACTTGGTTATGACGCATGTAATTTTTTGGGCCACCATCTTGGATCTGCCATTTTGGAATGTGAACAATTGTTTTAAATATGAAGATAAGATGGTGTTGTGACCCACCATTTTGAATTAATTTTTTAAGCTGAACTGAATACCGTAATCCGTTTTTAAGGAAGTTCTCTTTATGATATATTGCAATTCATTAATTTTAAATGTCAGTATTTCAAAAACAAAATATGTAAATGATAAACGGAATGCGGCGCTGTAAAAAAATAATGAAAACGGATAATAATACTAAATAATGTGGTAATCACTCCATGTACGTAAGTATTGAGATCTCACTCATTAATTTGTGGTTTACTTTGTGTGTTTCAGGTACGAGTGGCTCTGCTCGTATTCGTGTTCCACCACTCTCTGGGCGACCCCACCGTGCCAGCTCCAGCGGCAGCTCCCACAAGCGGTTGGGGTGTGAAATGGGGCCGCTTTAACAGTGTCAAAACTACAGTAGTTGCCGATGCCCAGTCGGACAAAACTACCGTGCCGGCTTCCACAATCGGTTCGGGTTGGAACCTCTTGGAACGAGTCAAATCTTCAGTTCCCAATGTAGGAGGGACTGCCTTCTTAGGAGAGCAGATGGCCGCATTGAAGACAGAGGTGCAAACCCGTGGAGTGAAAGGTACTTGGAGTGACTTGACGGATAATGCTGGATGTTTATTTAAAAATTGTGCTGGAGCTGCCACCACTGCAATGCAAGGAGCGTCCAATCTCAAGGATAAAGGTGGGCAAATAGCTTCTGGTGTGGGCCAAGCAGTTTTGGACAGGCTACCGACACAAGAGGCTTTGTGTAACTTGAGGGATCAGGCTGGATGCGCATTCACTGCAATGCAAGACGGAGCGTCTAGTATCAAGAATGGAGGTGTGGCATTAGCGTCTGGTGTGATGGAAACTGGTGGGATTGTAGTTTCTGGTCTGAAGGGAATGAGCCAGACTATAGTAGACAGTCTACCGAAACAAATTGTTGACAATTTTACTACAGAAAATTTAATCATATTATTAAAATCTGAGGCTGGGCAGAAATTGCTGTTTCAAATTATTATAGGATTAGCCTCCGCCACTCCTGCATTTAAACTCCTTGCCGTGACATTAAGCAGTCCGCAAGTCCGAAAATGCATTTCTTCCAATGAATCCCTAAAAAATGTTCAGCCATTAAATCAAATATTTAGTATAATTAATCCCGAAGAAGAAAAGGATAAGGTAAATGAAGGAAAGGATAAGGTAAATGAAGGAAAGGGTAAGGTAAATGAAGGAAAGGATGAGGCGAAGGAAAAGAGCCAGGCAATAGTAATGGGTTTACCGGAACAAATTACTGACAGTTTGACTACAGAAAATGTAATCAAACAATTATCATCTCCTACTGCGCAGAGTTGGCTGATTAGCACTATTTTTGGATTTGCCTCCGCCAATCCTGCGTTTAAAATCCTTGCCCCGGCATTAAAAAATCCGGAAATCCAAAGTTACATTTCTTCCTATATCTCCCTGGAAAGTTTGATTCCTGGCCCGACAAAGAAAGAAAATGATAAGGAGAAGGGAGTGAAGGATGTTGCGAAGGAAGAGGACAAAAGTTAGCACATAGTACTTCTCTTTATGTATGAAATATTGTTCAATTGGACGAATATATATCAGCATAACTAGGGATTTTAATTTTTTACCCAAATGTGTTTTGCTCATTTCCTTTCAAATTCAAATATATTTATTTAAGATATTAAAAGCATGGCCTCACCAAGTTTACAAAACTTGTCAGTGAGGACCAATAGATTCCAAAAATGACAAATTTTACAGATTTTCTTTCTTTAGTTTTTTTTGTGCAAAAATATTACGATACTCATTCTAAGGTGGTTTGAGGTAGGCACTTATTTATAACAAGAGTTTTCGTAATAAATCTATAAAAGATAAAGTATGTATGTATACAGTATATATCCGAAACCAGTACATAGATTCCATTCCTATTTACTCCGAAACCGTTCGTTAGATTGTAATGAAACTTTCAGGCATTATTAAGCATTGTTTAAGGATGGGTTGTAAGTTTGGATACTTTATAAACCATCATGTACAGCTTAAAAAAAATAATTTAGTATAATGAAGCGCTGTTGTATGCCAAACGGTTACGGACAAAATTAAAATACCCCCACCGCAGCAAACCTGCAGACTAAGCGAATTTCAACTTGTCTGATTACATTTTTACTAAAATATTTCCATAAATAAGACATATTAATTCCCAATTTAAATATCATTAGATTTAATGAGTGCTTAGGTTTGCTGCTACGGGGAAGGTAAAAAGTGTTTTTGACCATACCTCAATAGTATAGGATGAAATAAATAAATTTGCCAAATTTTATCAATATGTATCCATAAACAAGTAAACTACAACAGTTTTCATTTTCTCCATAAGAATAACATAGGAATGTTTAATTACACTATTTTTGAATTTTCTCCGTGACCGTTAGGTATACAACAGCGCTTCAATATACTAAATTATTTCTTTTTTTAAGCTCTACAAAACGGTTTGAAAAGAAATTGCAAATTTCTTTGTTTTTAGGGTCAAAGATGGGAAAACCCATTTTTACCCCATAAAACCAGAGATGGGGAAGCCACTAATCTATATGCCCCGTTCCCATGGTCCGATTATGCTGGTTCGCGAACTCGTTCGAATAAACGTAGGTTTAATCGTTGGTACCAAATTTCATCAAAATCGGATCATTTTTGCTCGAGTTATCGCGCTAACGGACACATATCTTACTCTACTAATATTATAAATGTGAAAGTTTGTGTGTTTGTTTGTTTGAAGTTCAATCACGCATCAACTACTGGACGGGTTCGGCTGAAATTTGGCATGATGATAGCTCACATTCCCGATTAATATATAGGCATATCTTATTTAAAAAATCGTTTCGGGCTCCGCCCCAGTGGCTCTGTAGTTCCCCATGTTAACCTTTTGGATTTGCGATGTTTTTTAAATGATCTGGAATCAAGTTATACAATTTCGGTCCAATATATTGAGGTGATGCTTCAAATAGTGATAATCTATAGCTAGTGGGCTTATACCTATGGTTTGTGTGACCCTCCCTGAAAATGGACAAATTGTTGAATACCCAAAATAATGCTTCTAAAATATACAGGTCATAATGTCAAAACGCTAAAAGCCTGAAAGATGACTTTGCATGGACTTCTTCGGGGTACTTTTAGCTACGAAGATAAACAGATGGATGACATAGATTGAACACAACGTCAACATAGACCTAGGATACTGCAATTAATTAGACAAACCATCCTTTTATGAAATCGTTTTCAGTTGTGGATAAAATATCACTTTTATTCCAACTATGAATATATTGTAGTTTAAATTAACTAATATGGGAAATTACGATGTACATTTATTTAATGAGGGTGGGTAATTTATCAAGGATAGAGCTGATAAAGTAAACATTGACAATTACGTCATTAGCTTTACTAGCGTGTTTACTTTTTATATTCTTGCTACATGTGACCAGTTCTTTTTTCAAATGAATGTTATTTGAACCAAACAGCTGTTTCAAAACAAACTGTTATTGTTTTTACTTTTCTTTGTTTACACTTATTTATTTAGCAATTAATGCATTGAAATTGATATAAAGGATAGGTGTGACGATTAGGTTTGATGTTAGGACACCAAAGTTAAATTATATGTACTGTGAATTTTATTGGATATTATCGTTTTATTTTAGGTCGTTCCTATTCATACCTACTGGAAATTGTGTATATTAGTTGTATTGTGGTGATAATAATTATGGAAGAAGCAGGTATGCTATGGAAGGTGGTATCGTTGACTAGGTCTAAACACTTCTCAATTGACTATGTTGTTGTATTAATAGTCAAAGCTATTACTCTCTCTACTGTAGGCTACTTATGATCAGTGTGCGAATCGGCAGCAAATCTCACTTCAACGCTTTTCACATTGTAAAAATTGCAGAATTGCTGTTTTATTGTAAAATTATCGGATTAAAAATGCATATCGTATAGGCCTATGATGGAATGAAAACATATTTGGTCACACAACATTTATTAACAAGATGATTTTTTACATTAAAACTGCAAGAAACTTTGTCTTTATATGTGTAGCCTAAACTAACTGATCTGAATTGTACACGGTTTTAACTGACTACTGGATTCCCGTACGTAGGACGGGCTAACACCTCGTTCATATTTAAAGGGAATTAAATAATTTAGTCAGCTGTTTCAACTGAAAAAGTTGGTTCTATGATTTGCAAAGCATTAAAGATTTACCAACAGGGCGCAGCTCTATACTTTTTTTGCATTTATGAAAACAGCTAATTTGAACTAAGCAGCAACAAAAAAAACGGTGATACGCAATGAGAACTAACTGTGAAAGCAGGATTGTTTACAGTTATATTTCTATTTTTTATTTCATGAATAATTTGTGATTTTTTGCGAATTTTTGATAATTTATTTTTCTCTATTGTTTAGATGACGTGGTAGAACATTATGGCTATGGTAGATGTGTAATACTATAGAATACTGTAAATTTAAAGAAGCAAATTTTATCAAACTGTGTCCCACCTCATTGCAAACGCAAGGCTTGAGTATTACTGCAATAAGCATTTTATGCTTATATGCCAACCCCATACGAAGGACGGGTACTCAGCTAGTATATACTGTATATGAATTTGAACGGATGGTGTTTTTAGCCTCTTGGGACCTCAAAACGAAATATTAAATCGGTCCCGGGTCAAGGTCTTATAATGAGTACTACGGTAATATCTTATTCCCTATATGGGAAATTCGCTAAAATGAAGTATAATTATTAAAAATTCACATGTTATTCTTATGGAGAAAATGAAAACTGTTGTACGTGTTTATGGATAAGCCTGTGTTGATAAAATTTGGCAAATTTATTTATTTCATCCTATACTATTGACGGATGGTCAAAAAGCACTTTTTACCTTCCTCGTAGCAGCAAACCTAAGCACTCGTTAAATATAATGCTATTGAAACTGGGAATAAATATGTCTTATTTATGGAAATATTTTAGTAAAAATGTAATCAGACAAGTTGAAATTCGCTTAGTCTGCAGGTTTGCTGTGGTGGGGGTATTTTTTTTTATTGATGATAACAGCTAAATTTAACTAAGCAGAAACAAAAAGCTTTGATTTAAAATGAGAACTGTCAAAGTAGGATTGTTTACAGTTATGTTTATGTTTTTAATTTGATAAATAATTGTTAATACTATGCGAATAAGGCGTTCTATTTTTTAAGTGAATAAATTATTAACTTATAGAGATTCTTTTTTCCAAAATGTTTATAAACATCTATTGTGTTTGTATGGTTTATTTCCCTAAGTAACGTCTGGGAAACGGAGTAGCCAGTTAATAGTGGAGTATTAAAAGTTTATTTACATACAGTAGATATATGGAACATAATATTTATTCTCTTTAGCGTTCTCTTTCCGTCGCGAAGCATGGCTGTTAGGTAAATAGCCAGAAACTATAAATTATAGATTAGTTAGGTTAGTACAGTATTAACTTAGCAGTGTGCGCTTTTTGGGACCGGATCTTGTAATTAGTTGAAACCTTATTATACTCCAAACATAAGCTTGTCTGTATATACGGTTTGTATTTTCTAGCACATATTTCGCAAGCAAAATATCTGACAGTTTAAAGCAAAACAAAATGCTTTTGCTAATTAATTAATGTCACTCAGATATATATTTTTAGCCTTTATTTTATCTAAAGATTAAACTAAAATTCAGCATTATGTATGCATGCGGCATAGCAAGGTATAACTTTCCAGATTGGTTAAAAAAGTTAAATACTTCCTCGCAATTTCACACTTAGGCCTAATGCCGGTTGACATTTTCATCAACAACTGTGCTCTTGTCTTGTGAAACGCTGAGAGATAAAGACAACAATGCGTTACCAACAGATATGCAAAAAATATAGAATAAAAGAAAAAATTGAATTAGGCCAAACCAGCGCAATGTGGAGATAAAATAAGTGGCCTATTTGAAATCTTTGTTATATCAACAAATTGCAATACTGTATATCGTCTTTACTTTCGTGCAGTGATTTTGCCGTGTGTACTGACAATACTACACTAACAAAGAATATTTTACCATGAAAAGGCTGCGAATTGTACAGTACTATATTTTGTATGGAGACGGGAAAATATCAGTTTTTAATAAAGACCAATGCAATCTGCACGACGTCACCTATTGTTATATTTTCACGTCGTGGTGACACCATAAATCGCGTTCGCACTATATGACCATGATTGAGCTTACCACGACATTTCCGCTGTCCACGATGGGATATGCTTCGTCAGGAGGCCATTCAACATCTTGGGGTGCTGTCGATTGAATCGATTTGTGAGACTTTGCTGAAGGGTGAGGACAACTGGGACTGCTGGTCGCACTTTGTCCGGAATGTCCTTCAAGCTAAAAAGAACGATCTAGATCGGATCACAGTCTAGATTTTATAAGAAATAAACGGCTAGACACGGCGTAAGCCCCTCGGGCGTAGGCAAACTCGGCCTAGTTCTGATGAAGTGCGACAAGTGTTCCCAGGCTAGTGTCCGAAGAGTAGAGGAGTTTTTTAGTGGGTAGTCTCTGGGCCTTAAGCCCGTTGGAG